CATGCCAGCCCGACCACATTGGAACCGGGTGAGCTGCGACCGGAACCTGCGTCTTGCCAGCATACATCACAAAAGCAGGAGGCAGTGTCGTACTGCTTTGATCCAAAATATGCCATATAACAAATGATATAAACGACCTAAGCTCGGACTAAGCTTATCATTATCAAATCCTTAACATGTAAAAGACGAATGGAAACATCGAGTCTCAGACCAGCAGTAGCAACCATCACAGTAGCAACATCACAAAGAACACGCGGCATTATCAGACAGCCGTTTTGTTATCGGGCTACAGGCGGCGACGGCGTGGTTGCAGACCAGCTGCGAGGTAGCGGCGTGCGGGCAAAAGGCGCGGGCACACCTCCATGTGGCCGTGCGGACAGTGCGCGGTCGGCGTCGCATAGTGGGCGGCATCGGGCTGTCCCGGGGCCGTCGAAGCCGCACAGGTTGTCGGCGCATGTGGGCGCGCGCGGTCACCACGGCCAGCTGCTCACCACCAGCACAGACTGCGCAGCGTCGCCGCTCCGCCGGCCAGAACACGCAGACAACCCTTCTTGCAGTTGCACAACACGTCGCCAAACTCATTCCCCTGCTCCACCATGTTGTTGATGTAACCGAGTCGTTCAAGTTGTGGCTCGTGCCGTCGAGCATGACCTGCCCGATCGGACACGGGTCAGCGGCTTCTGCTCCAGCGAAGTCTTCATCTTGGTGACGTCTTGCTGATCTCCACAAAGGCTGAGCAGATGACCTTACCCACAGGGACGGCCGACGTCCTCGCCAGCGACCGCTTGGTTGTGCAGACCTGCCAGAAAAAGAAAAGCTGTTTGGTGATCTCAAACGATTTTCTTTTCTTTATGCAGTGGAACAAAATGGAAAATATGTCATACAACAGGAACTAAAAAAAGACGCAGCCTAGGTCGTCTAAGAAATGGGTGCAACATTGATAAAATTCTTCCTTGAATGAATTCTACAAATGCTTTTGATAAAATGTGTGGTGATTATAAGGAGACCACTTTACTATAAAATTGCTCAGGATTCCCTATCTGGACCTGTCAAAAAATCCTGACTGCACACCAACAATGAGCATTAAATCCGAAACCTCTACCAGGTACCTAGGGATAGTTAAATTCTGATTCAGGAAAATATTTCACATCATACAAATAAAAACCTTTACTATATTGAAACTGAAAATGTGATGCCGATCCCGTGACCTAAGGGTCTCAAAGTATAATAATGAATTAATCTATTATAAATTTGGTGGTGACTGCCAACTGGCGTCTGGCAGCCTAGACCTTGAGGCTTGAAAGTGGCCTTCCTTTTCCGTTGACTCCGATCCTCCAGATGGAAATGATATAAATGATCATTTTTATCTTATTTCAAATGAGCCAGTCAGCAAAGTGGCTATCCTGTTTCAGCATTCACACACACACAATAGTTGACTGTCAGTCTGTCATGCTGTCAGTGTTGTGAACTAAGTAACGAAGGAGTTGAGTTTTGTTGATTTTAAATTGTGATATTATGTAAAGGACTGGAAAATGAATGTGAAAACTATGGAAACATATTGGCAGAGTATTGTCACTTACTATCAGGACATATGGATAGAGAATACATTCAAATTAATAAGAAATGTCAAATATCAAGGTACTCAATCACTGATAGCAGTGGACTATCATATGTTTTAATGTCAATTATATGAAAGTTAAGACTGAAACTACCTTTTACTTCATCATACCTAATGAAAAATTGTGTGAAGAAAACATTCACAGCCTCTTTGAAGCACTTAGACCACTAAAAAACAAAAATTTTCACGTAAATATGTTGTGTCTTTCCCTCAAAACATCATATCGGATGGCGCCACTTTCGTCGACAGTTACTTATCTGCACGCAAATCGAGGAAAACGTGAATTGATTGACGTTTACGTGTTTCCAAAGTTAAAATCACAGCATATTCAAACTTTTCAGTGTACCTTTTAACATCTAAATATAACTAAAACGATAAAAACTTACCTTCAACACAAGGACGACGACAACCACGCGACCGGAGACGTCGCGACGAAATAAACAAACGGCGCCGCCAAATGAAAAATATTCTCTGATATGGGTGATGTGAAATTGAGTCGCAATCATTTTGGGTAGTATGAAAAATGCTCTTTCCAACAGAACCCTAGTAAAAAACGTGAATGGACAAAAAATAACTTTTATTTCGACATAAATATTGGCCTGTTTTTAAGGCATCCTGGTATGCCGTAAGATTTCGACCTAGAAATTGGTGTTCCCCCAATCATTGAAGCTTGAGCAGTGAAAAATATGAAAGCCTAATCTGTTTTGCATCATTAGTGATTCTCCTAGGGTGTTGCCATTTCTCCCTAGGTGTTGCGAGTTGCTTTTGCAAAACGTGTTCCTGAAACGGCTCAATTTTTTGAGCCCTCAGCATTACGCCTATGGGAGCCTCTGACGTCACACGCTCAATATTTTGAGCGCTCAATAATTTGAGCTTTTCCCCCTTGTGCGTGGGACTGGCTTCTGTTTCTCTTGAAAGCAAGTTAAAACAACAATGATCTAAGGCAGGAGATGTGAGTTAAGGCAGTAGATTTTTGATTCAACATATGTCAACCTTATATTGCTTGAGACCTCTGTGACAGACAAACAAATATTTATAGTTTTTTGATAGTTTGGATTCTTGGCTTGATTTAGCAGATCAGCTGTGAACCTTGAGGCTTGACTTTGAAATCACATAAATGTCATGGTACCCGAACGAATCCTCGCATGACATTTCTTCGTAGCACAATTTTTCGTCCGCATTTCTTCGTCTACAAATCTTCGTCGGTGCATTTATTTGTCCCTCAATGCTTACTCTTGCATATATTTGCGTTGAAGAAGAAATGCGAGCCGATTTTCATATACCCTGATGCGAGACAAAGTAATGCGATACGAATAAATGCCCTGACGAAGATTTGCAGAAGAAGAATTGCGATACGAAGAAATGCCATAAGAAGAATTGTCGGTATTAGTAAGCCTGGCGTCACACGAAGATGCCAGATGTCGACGGTTGAGAAATTCCCTAGATATCTACATAGAGATATTCCTCGGAACGCTGTGTACGCTTAAGTTACTCTCCGATTACCAAAGTTAAGGTCTCAAACGAATCCCCGATTCACGGACTACCTTCACTGAGGTTCATGACCTCCAAGGTCATGACCTTCCAGGTCAACATAAAGGTCAAACGACGGAAACCGCTCTGCACGCCAAAGTTAGCGACCGATTTCCAAAGTTAAGGTCTCAAACGATTCCCCAATTCACGGACTACCTTCACCGAGGTTCACGACCTCCAAGGTTATGACCGAGGTCAACTTCAAGGTCAAATGACAGAAAACGCCCTACACACCAAAGTTACAGACCGATTACCAAAGTTAAGGTCTCAAACGATTACCCAATTCACGGACTACCTTCACTGAGGTTCATGACCTCCAAGGTCATGACCTTCCAGGTCAACATAAAGGTCAAACGACGGAAACCGCTCTGCACGCCAAAGTTAGCGACCGATTTCCAAAGTTAAGGTCTCAAACGATTCCCCAAGTCACGGACTACCTTCACCGAGGTTCACGACCTCCAAGGTCATGACCTAGGTCAACTTCAAGGTCAGATGACAGAAAACGCCCTACACACCAAAGTTACCGACCGATTACCAAAGTTAAGGTCTCAAACGATTCCCCAATTGACGGACTACCTTCACTGAGGTTCATGACCTCCAAGGTCATGACCTTGGAGGTCATGAACCTCGGTGGAGGTAGTCCGTGAATCGGGGAATCGTTTGAGACCGTTTGAGACCTTAACTTTGGCAATCGGTCGGTAACTTTGGCGTGTAGGGCGCTTTCTGTGATTTGACCTTGGTGTTGACCTGGAAGGTTATGACTTTGAGGGTCATAAACCTCGGTGAATGTAGTCCGTGAATCGGGGAATCGTTTGACACCTTACCTTTGGAAATCGGTCGCTAACTTTGGCGTGCAGAGCGGTTTCCGTTGTTTGACCTTTATGTTGACCTGGAAGGTCATGACCTTGGAGGTCATGAACCTCAGTGAAGGTAGTCCGTGAATTGGGGAATCGTTTGAGACCTTAACTTTGGTAATCGGTCGGTAACTTTGGTGTGTAGGGCGTTTTCTGTCATTTGACCTTGAAGTTGACCTAGGTCATGACCTTGGAGGTCGTCAACCTCGGTGAAGGTAGTCCGTGAATTTGGGAATCGTTTGAGACCTTAACTTTGGAAATCGGTCGCTAACTTTGGCGTGCAGAGCGGTTTCCGTCGTTTGACCTTTATGTTGACCTGGAAGGTCATGACCTTGGAGGTCATGAACCTCAGTGAAGGTAGTCCGTGAATCGAGGGTTCGTTTGAGGCCTTAACTTTGGTACTCGGACAGTAACTTTAGCGTACACAGCGTTCCGAGGAATATCTCTAGATATCTAGGGAATTTCTCAACCGTTGACATCTGGCATCTTCGTGTGACGCCAGGCTTACTAATACCGAATTGTCCTGGAATCCTTTATTGGCCATTATATATTGACCTTGATAAGATAAACGCATCATTCGCGCAATATTTGTCGCACTTTGATACCAAACTATTGCTTCCAAATGCCGACGTAAAGAAAACCTTTATGTGACGTCATAGAAGCAGCGGAGTTCCCAAAAAGTAAACAAAAATAAAAGTCTTATATCTCGAAAACGGGTGAATATTTTCCGGTAAAATTTGGTAGATGTTCATTTTCGCTCTTTGTGATTCACGCTACATCACTTTTATGCCAATTCATTAACTTTTTTGAAGGTGGGAGGGTCCCTTTAATGTCACACAATTATTATTTATTGTATAATTTGCATAGCTGACACAAATGCATGACATGATCTAATTTGCTATAATAACGCTGAAGCATGAAAAGTGACAATCATGCATGCCGCGCTACGATTAACTGATGACGCTATGACGCAGGTTACATGTACGCTCGGCACTTACAATTTGACTGATGATGCCTCCATGCCCCAGTCTTTCAGGGTGCTATTGATGGAGAGAAGGACGGCTTCCTCCGTCTCCGGGGCCTTCCTAGTTATCGCGGCCAACTGAAAAAAGGAGCGGAATACGGCATGTGTAATGTGCACTCTCCTAACACACGAACCTCAAATACACCTGCGGTACTACGGTTGGCCAACTCGGATGAACATGACCATTGACAATGCCACCACCGTAATAGCGAGCGATAATGCATGTCGGCAGGCTGAAGTTCTAGTATTAAATAAGGTAGAATACACATATAAATAAATTTACGAACAAACCTAACGTTTCGTTTCACTTTAAAGTTCGTAAACACCTCTATCCCATTCTATCTCACACAAATTTACGCTCACAATCACCCCTCACTCTAGATCCAAATCAACCTTCAAGTAGCATCAAATAGCAAATAGCAAATAGCAAATAGCAAATAGCAATCAAATAGCATCCATCATCAACCTTTGAGAGACAATTACCTCCATCCATCGCTCCATCCCACCCCCACCCTCACCTCCTGAGAGGCCAGTGTTGACCTGACCAGCACACTGCGGCATATTACCCCACCCTCACCTCCTGAGAGGCCAGTGTATTGACCAGAACACTGCGACACAGCGACCGCAGCGAGGCCTGCGGGTCCACACAGGAGCCGACGAACGTGTGCGCGTCACAGACCCGGTACAGCACCTCGGCACCAAGCTCGGCCACCGCGCCGTCACTCGTTAGCAGCTGATGGCGGGGGGGGGGCAAGGGGGACGGTGAGATGACGGTGGGGAAAACTTAATTCTTAGCGAAAGGAAATGATTGCCTAAATGGCGCATATTGTGACGGAAAAAACACATCCACTGTCCTTTGGAATTGTGAACTTTGCTAAACATCGTATCATGATAAATACGCATTATGCATTACTTCTAATGTTCAGTGGTCGGGAAATTTCAAGACCTAAAACTTTCTCCGATAAGCCTGGACTCGGTACTGTACGACGACACCCCCCGTTGCAGAAGTGCCCGGTCAGCTGTATCCCGTACCTGCTGCAGCGGCACCAGGCTGCTACTGTCCCGTACCTGCTGCGGCGGGACCAGGATGCTTCTGTTGCGCAGATCCACCACCTGCGTGGTGTCAATACCAGGCAGCACCAGCGCCCAGCCGGGCCCGCGCGCCGGCAGCACCTTCCCCAGACGGAACACCACCAGCCGCTGCCACTGCGAGAGCCGGCGCACCGTCCACCAGCCGCTCACGGGCAGCGTGAGCACCGTCAGTGAGAATACGACGAACAGCAGCAGGCCGGAGACGAGCCGCGTCAGACAGTCGGCGTCCGCGGCAGCTGGCGGCGGACAGAAGACGTCAGCGGCGGACAGACGCGCACAGAGTAGGGCGGGTGTGGAGGTGGTGGTACAGTGGGTTAGGCTTACATTCAGAGGTCAGGTTTACTATGTATCACTAGTTTACGGCATCATGATGTGTGGAATGTAAAAATAGCAATAGGAACACAAAAGATGACATTACCAGAAGGTGGGTGGCAAGAACTAAACCTTAAGTTATTCCACAATTCATGAACCATATTAAGAATGAGTTTGGCCTACAGGCACATGACTAGTTGTAGCTGATAGGAATAACAAATGTATGAATAAATTTGCTTAATAGCAGAGTAAAAACAAAATATAACTAGCGTCAACAATATAAGGCTTGGTAAAAGCAAGCAGTGCAAAATTAACAAAAGTGAATAAAATTTAGGACACTTGCACCAAAACGTCTAACTCACCATTTTCTTGTGCATGGTTTGCTTGCTTGGAAAATGTAAAATAGGATTTTGATGGAAAAGAAGCTTTATTAAACTTGGCAACTGAGCGATAATCAAATGCTGATTCGTATCTAAAAGGTGAATCATAATTAACTGTCTGTTTCAGGGACACTTCATTATCATCCACTGGTACAGCTGTATATTCAACCTTGTCCATGGTTCTCTTTGGAGCTCTGAAATAAACAGTCATTGGTAAGGAAAATTGAAGCAGCCAATACCTGTTTGATGAAGTAGTGTATATTGATGAACATTATATAAAGTAAAGTACCTACCTAATAGGTATTCTACATTACAAAGGCAATGCACTATGAGGTTTAAAGCCCTTTACTTGCTTACACAAATTCCCCCCCCCCCCCCTCCCAATGCAACCTTGATGTGGTTGGTAGGGAATGGAAAGCTCAAAGTTTTCACAACATTTTTAAGTTGGTAGGCATGGATTTTAAAAAGCGATTGATAGAGTGATTCCACGATAGATCGTACCAGGCCCGTCACCCTCATCTCTCAGATTTGAATGAATATTGGTAAAAGGGGTAATCATAGGCTCCAAAAACACCTGCCAAAATATCAGACTTCTCAGATGAAACTTTTTGAGTTACATCGCATAATATTTTCTAAACTTCAGATTGTAAGGGTGAGTTTGATGAGCAATAACTCAAAAACGAACTAAGCAAGCAACAAACGGTAAACAGCTTTGAACTAACGATGAATCAAAGATTCATAAAGTATTTTTAAAATTGAAAAGAAAAGCTTTACATATTGAAAAAAGTCGTATTTTTTAAAATTGTCTATAATGGCCCTTGGGAGCAAAATTTTTGCCATTTTTATTTCTTCAAAATAAACCTCAGGTCCTTTTAAATCGACATGCAAAAAATTGGAAAGGTGTTCTTTCTATAAGTTCCTCATTTAAATGTATACAAAATGGGTTTCCGGGGGGTCAGTACGACCCCAGCTCGCCGTTTCGCCTCTAATGGAGCTAGAACCTTGCAGAAAAAACGAGCATGTGCGCCGCTACAAGATGCATCGAATGATACCACATTTTAAGGTCTCGGGTTCATTGGTGACCCCTGAGGGCATTTCAAGCGACCCAAATTACGGGTCCGGTTTTTGATAGATAACTTCGCAACAAATGGTCGCAGGGCCGCGATTTTAGCATCTTTGTGTTTGCTTAGCTCCGGCGCGTCGAATGGTAGGGGAGAGTGGGGAAAGATGCCCAGGGTTTTGCTATGTCATACATTATTCGAAAATGACGATGGGAAAGCAAAAACTTGGAGTTTCAACGGAAGCCGACATCATTTTTCTCCAAAAATATCACACTTTCGTGCCTGAAATATGATAACTTTTTTTTGCTATTAAGCATTTTCCTGCAGAAGTGAAAGGGGGCATCTTACCCCACTGGGTGGGAAAGACGCCCCCTGGCGTTGGGGAAGATGCCCCCTGCACTATAAGTGACATAAATGGGCACGTGAATCGCCTGAACGAATCAGTAGTCCCTTCGAGCCTGCAGTAGACACCAAACGTCATCATAAGGGCCCTCAAAAGTAGTCGTAAGGGGCTTCAGAGGTCATCGTTAGGGCCATCATAGTCCAGCGCGGCCAAACAAGCATCCGTGGTGGCGTTAGGAGACCACTGTGGGGCTCCTATAGGTCTTCATGATGCTTGAGGGCCCTCGAGCCCATCGTGGGGATCTCAGATGCCAGCGCGGCCCGTGGAGCCAACGTGGAAGCCCTCAAAGGATGTCGTGAGGGGCCCTGGAGCCAATAATGGTGCCCACAGAGGCCGTCGTGAGGGCTCTCGAGTCAGATGCCGCCCAAAAAGTCGCTGTGTGGGCCGAGAGACCGGCATGTGGAGCACCCGACCGTACAGTAGGTCTACTAAAAAAGTCCCCCGCTCCAGAGGCGGCCGGCCGGCCGAACCCCCGGATTCCAGCCCCGACTCTATTGCGCAGGCCGCGGCAGTGACACGGGTCAGGTCGCGGCGCCCGGCGAAAGGGTCAGTTGGCGGCGGCCTGCCGTGGAGTGAGGACGCCGCGTGTGGGGCGCAGCGATGCCGCAGTGCAGAGGAGGGGAAGATAGTGACTGCACGATGCCGGAAATGATGCCGTTGTGATCTAAATTAAACACCTGCACTGCAGTGCATATCCTCCCTTGCCCCATTCCTATTATGTATATCATAATCCTTCAATAATCCGTAATGACCATTCAACGCAAGCAAGCAAACAAAACAACCTGTTTAGCGGCGACATCATCTCGGATAAAAAAGCGACGGTGATGAATAGAATTGACTTAGCGCGAGGGCAAATCGAGGGGTATATATGTATCATAATTTATGCCGAGTATTTTATTCCCATCTAGCAAATTAGGATTGGGGATCTTGTCCAACAAGTCAGCGGCCGTTCTAGACACAGATAAATACTTTGTTTTCGGTCGCATCATTATCTGCAATAATTCGAAGCGAGGTTTAACCCTCGCCGGCCGAGAAATAGGGGTGGATGCCGCCACCATGTATTTTTTTTTTTTTTTGTGGGAGCTCAAAGCACACTGATGATAGAAGGCTGACATTTCATATGCCTTATGTTTGATTCAAGCCGGATCATTTGAAATCAACCACGTTTTCATGTCAGGTCACTTAACTATGACGTCTTAACCCTCGCCGGCACAGGCCATTTTGCGTCCTTCGACGGCACAAGGGGGGGGGGTACGACCCCCCTCGCGTTTGGCCCCTGATCGAGCTAGAGCTTCGCGGAAAAAAACGAGCGTGCTGCCCGTCACAAGAGGAAGCCGATGATACCCAATTTTAAGGTCCTAGGTCATCGGGTGACCTTCCAGGTCAGGTCAATGACCCGAAAAGCGGGAAAATCGGGACCTGCTAGAAAGTCGTAAAGTGTGGCTGCTATGTGGTTTTCCGGGGTGCTGATCACGAATATCGTGTTAGTTTTGATCAGAGATGATGTTTTTAAGCATTTAGACCAGGTCGGGTCAGGTCAGGTCAGGTCAACCGGTAGGGGTTGTGACGGGTATTCGTAATATGTGTCAACCGCCTCTGACAGCTTCGTAACATGTTACGAAGGCACTAAAACTACTTCGTAAATGTTCAAATGGTTGCTAAATTCGAATTCAGCTCCAAAAACTAGCCTAAAAACATGTAAAACTCGAAAAAGTGAACCGAGGTCACCCGAGGTCACCAAAGGTCAATGACCTGACCTGACCTTCAGGTGACCTTGACACCCACCCTAATGTATGGGAGCAACATCAAATCACATGTTTGAACGCTTGAAACCACGAAAAGCTTGCAAACGCGCGGCTAATGCGAGCCGACATACGCCGAATCGCGATTTCGGCCAAACATGGTCACGGAAAAGAGGTCACAGATCAAAGGTCATTGGGGTCAGGGTCATGAAATTTTCAGGGAACGTGTAAAATTGATCAATGCGAGGGTACTGAAAGTTTCATCGCGATGGGCCGCTTTTTACGCGAGTTATTCGCGAAAAACCTTATGGGGGGTTGCATCAACCCCTCCCCCTGTGCCGGCGAGGGTTAACCCGCGCGGGGCTGGGGTCTCCAGCCGAACGCGCGGGGCTGGGGGGGGGGGTAAATTTAACCCCCCTGTCATCTCCCGAACTAATGGTCCGATTTGGAAAATTCAAACGCCAATCGAAAGCTCTCATCACGAACTACTAAAAACATGTACTTAATTTAAAGTTTGAGGTCAAGGTCAAGGTCAGGTCAAGGGTACAAATTGCAAGTTTCTACAGTATCGGCCTTGCACCGTAGTTGCCGAAGAATGGAGTCATGGACTGAGACTGATCGCCCAAAACGTGTTCTTAGGCTACCAAGACAATATTCGTTGCATACAATATCATTCAGAGGTCAAGGTCAAGGCCAGGTCAGGTCAGGTCAGGTCACCAAAAAACAAAATATAGAAAAGGGCATGTGCGACACATGTTTTATGGGTCATTTTACTCATAGAATTCAATAGGCACACTCAATAAGTGATATGGACCACCTCTGGATGAATTTCAGGTCGAGGTCAGGTCAAGGTCAGGTCAAGTGAGGTCAAATTTTGAAGTTGGTTGTTAAGGCCTAAAAAGGTGTCTATCTGATGCAGTTTTTCACGGCGAATCGAATGGTGCTATTTTTGTTTCCGTACGAGGTCTAAAACTTCCAAAAAAGTCATTTAAAAAAAAAATTGTTTGTCGTTACGTCATAATTTTTTGAATAACTCCCACATTTTTGAACCGATTCTTCTAAAATTTGGTATGCAGGTGCACATAGACCACTTCTCTGACATATATTCCGGTTTTTTCGATAGACTCAAAATTTTGGATTTTATAATGATTTTCCCAAAAAACTCAGTTTTTTGAAAAAAATTTAGGCCAAAATCCAAAATTTTCAGAAAACCGAGATAGCCATTTGATAGACAAAGTAAAATTACGTATAACCTTTTTTGTTAGGTCTTGATTCCTTTAAAAATGAAGATGTTAGCGGCGTTTGAACTTTTGCCGTTTTTGAGGCGAAAATGGCGAACATGACGTCACTAAAACGTCAATTTCTCAAAAATTTTCCGACGGATTTCGCTCAAATTTTCAGAGGACGTGTCAAATTGATGTAAGAAAAGATACTGAAAGTTTGGCGGCGCTGCGCGCCGCCGTTTTTGAGATATCGCAAAAATTCGCGAGGGGGGGGGGGTAAAATTTACCCCCCCAGCCCCGCGCGGGTTAAGTAAACCTCTGCAGACTGCACGGTCGTCGGTTGTAAAATGATGCAAATCCGTAATGATGACCCAAAACTATACCTCAAGCACATGAACTCGTGACTTCATACATTCTTGGCAAGGTTTAACCCTCGCCGGCCGAGGGGGGGGGGGCGGGTGCCATCCCCCCCATAGGGTTTTTGTCGCGATAGCTCCGAACACGCTGGCGATAGAGAGCTGAAACTTGGCATACCTGACCTTTATTTCAAGCCGGATCTTTTGACACCAACCGCATTTTTTAATCTGGTCAGGTCACTGACCTATGACGTCATAAGTGAACCTCTGCACGGTCTTCAGATGTCGCAACTTCGCAACGCCCTCACTGCCAGAGGAGATGTCACAAGGAAATGAAGCTTGCAGGATCTAGTATCCATTATGAGTCTCACTACTTTTATATCTCGGATTTTTCCTAAAGGTCATATGAGGTCAGGTCATTTTCGTG